TATTTTGTTTATTTCATCGTGTATGGCAGTTTACAACAGTGTATAGGTCACATGTTGAGGAAATTCGCTTCATGCCAACTTTGTATTTTTTTCCCAAAACGACCGGGGCCCTCACCCGACTACGAGAACAAATCATTCAGGGTCCACTTCTTCACTATAACCGGTTTAAATTTTATTTCTTCAGATAGTGAATTCAAAAGTACAAATTACAAATAAACGCAGCAGACTTATTATATCTTGTTGTTACATCGTTACATCATAGATGATACTAGCTTTATCATTATATGGAAAAAGAGTTTGGAGACATTAAAGTGTCTTGCAATATTCTAAATAATCTACTTCAGAAATACAAGTCATTACCCAAAATAATATGCCTACCTCCCCCAACATTCAATTTGTGCTTTCTTAGGCGTTCAAGTTGGGAAGGTTGAAATGGGCTCCGACCATCGATTCGTTCAGGGAGATGATGCTATCATACCTTGTCGTTTTAACGGAACGCCGATAGCTGTTGACTGGGACATGGGTAAGTTGTAAATGGACTCGTATGAATCTTCTTCTTACTTCGATGAGGGGAAGGAATCAAACCAGAGTTGTGCTCCTGGTGCAAAAGAAAACAATATGTATAATTATGGCCTAACCCTCTATCATATATCTTCTTTTCTTTTTTCTTTTTCTTTTTTTTTTTGGGGGGGGATATTAACGAAGCAAAACCATCTATTAAAAAAAAAGGTTTTTAATGTGGTCCTACTATTAAAGGAGAAGATTTTCTTCTTTAAAATGATATTTAACTCTGGCAAAACCAGGGCGGCCCTTGAAGGGAACACAGAAATGGAATGGACAGGGACACAAATAATAACACGTTTGAAGAGAGTGAAAGGAACTGGGGAGAAAATAGACATAAATGCCCAAACACATTGGGTAAATTGCATTTAGAGATAAGGGTTTTCAAGATTTAACATGCGACAAATTTATAAAGCTCTGTGGCGTTCCTTTTCTTGCATAATTTCAATGCTTTATGATTAGAAGGGGGTAAAAATTATTAATGCCTACTGCTTAGTCGCTTTTCTCCATCGCTTGTAATGTTACGTTGGCGGGGGAGGGGTTTCATAAATCCATTGTTTTCTCCTAGCGCCCTGATACCTGGATACGCCACTGTTTGCAATCGAATTTTCGGCTAATATCGAGTAGGGATGTGTTGGGCATGTAAATTGAGTCTATATCCAGTGCCTCCAAGAAAAAACGAAACCGAGAAAAACTTAATCACAATCATGATTAATAGATGACACATATTTGTAAAGCAGCTTAGATCACCCTTTTTCAGTTGCCGCAACTCATATGATGCATATTTCACTCATGAGTGATTGAAAACAATTTGAAGAGAGGTACCAATAAGTCATTTTTAGGGCGGTGTCTGAATTTCAAAGAGAAAATCATATTTCTAGGAAGTTCATTTTCTGCCCTTTCATATGAACTTTATATAATCATACATATCCTACATGGCACATTTACATGTACTCATTCATCCCGTGTCCACGTTATGGTGAAAACTCATATATCCACCCGATACCAATACAGTTACAGTAAAGTATCGAAGCAGATTACCCAAAGTTGCTCAGTAATATCAGAGCAGAATATGTAATCTGAAACCCAGGTGACAAAGTTGCTCTGGTAATGAACTGGAACTATTGTCACCTAGGTTAGATTTATAGAACAGTAGTGAACTGTAGGATTGAGTAATTTGTGCGCCCTGATAGTACACTGGTCTGATGAGTTTTCTTTACTCCAGACTTTACCTATTTTTAATCGCATGGGCAATGAAAATATAAATGATATAAAATAAAACGCGTGCATGCTCCTCTGTGTAAGTTGTTCATGTTGTTTAATGTTCACTTATTGATTTAGATTTTGTTGGCACTGACAGAACTTTTTTTAATTCACTTTTTTAAATATTTTTAGGGGGGTAGGGGCAATGCTTCATGCATGCATAAACAACGAATTAAGCAAGATCATAGCTTTAAAAGAACCTAGCGGTAAAGAGTACCAATTGATCACCAAAACAAAGGTTGTAGTGAAGTTAGGAGTTTCATTTGTTCATAGGCCGATTGTATAACATTTTAAAAGAGCTATACATTGATATTACCCCTATTTATATACCCTCGATTAACATAAAATCGTCTTGTGAGTAGACTATTACCTCTTACTTAAATGTTATCCAGATTACGGTAGCCACAGTAACGCACTGTTCCTCTTTATCACCTGAGTATTATAGTGTCTCTCCTTCTTTCCTCGTCCCCTTCTATTCTCTCGATCCCTCATCCCCATTCTCCTTTGATTTTCCCCTGCCCCCCCCCCCACCCCCATGCACCCCTTCAGCCATTTCCCTCTCTTCGCCGTAAACCCAATCATCTTTCCCCCATCCTCTCTAAACTCGTTCTTCCGCCGGTTTGCTTGCTCATCCCTCCCCTCCTCCCCTTGCCTTACCGCTTCCCTTCTCTAGCTCTCTGTTTACCACTCTCTCTTTCTTTCTTCTCTCCCCTTTCATTCTCTCCTTCCTCATTCTCCTCCAACTTTCGTCTTCTACCTTTAATTCGCTCTTATCCGTTAATCCCAGTTTATCCAATCCTTTCCCCTAGTTCCTTCACTCCCTTTTCCCAAACCTTCATCAACTCGTTCTCCAGTCGGCCTACTTATTCCGCCACCCGCCCCCCCCCTCCTCAATCTTCCTTCCCTCCACCCCGCACGCGCTCTTTCTCCCTCTCTCTTTCCCTTCACTATCCTGCGCTAGCTCTTATTTCCCCTCATTTCCTAAACGCTCCACGGAGTATACGCCCTTATTCCCTTACCCGGCCGGCCGCCCTCTTAAATCCAAAGAATGCCCCCTTTCGCCTTCTCCCCACCTCCGCTCCCTTTTCTCCGCGTCTTATTAATGTTGGTCCCTCTCTCGATCCCCCTTTCTCTCTGCTTCCCCTCTCAAGGCGCGGATCCAGGATTTCTTAGGGGTGGGGACCCAATTTTTTTTCTTTTTGCTCCCGGAAATTTGAAAATCGCGCCAGCCGAAAATGCGCTCAGTGGGGGGTGAGGGGGGGGGGGGTGGCGGGTAGTAGTGAGCACATTTTTTTGGGGGAAGCCCTCTAAAATTTGCATCCCCCCCCCTCCCCCTTGAGCGCCAGGGGGGGGGGGAATCTCCCCAAAAAGGTAAAATTAACGTGTTTTTACACGTTTTATTTTTTAAAGGGGGGGGGGGGAGACGGCCCCCCCCGATCCGCCACTGCCCCTCTCTTACATCGCTCTCTCAGCTCCACCGTTCCTCTCTGTTTCCTCTACTTTTTGTTCCCCCTTTAACCTCCCCTTAGTGGGGTAGTGAGCACATTTTTTTTGGGGGGGAGGGCCCTCTAAATTTTGCCCCCCCCCCCACCCAGATCCGCCACTGCCCCTCTCTTACCTCGCTCTCTCAGCTCCACCGTTCCTCTCGCTTTCTTCTACTTATTGTTCCCCCTTTAACCTCCCCTTAGTGGGGTAGTGAGCACATTTTTTTTTTTGGGGGGGCCCTCTAAATTTTGCCCCCCCCCTTGGGCGGCAGGGGGGGGGGGTAGGGTAAAATTAACGTGTTTTTACATTTTTATTTTCGAAGGGGCCCCCCCCCCCCACCCAGATCCGCCACTGCCCCTCTCTTACCTTGCTCTCTCAGCTCCACCGTTCCTCTCGCTTTCCTCTACTTATTGTTCCCCCTTTAACCTCCCCTTAGTGGGGTAGTGAGCACATTTTTTTTTTTTGGGGGGGGGGGCCCTCTAAATTTTGCCCCCCCCCCTTGAGCGGCAGGGGGGGGGCGTGGGGGGGGGGGTGGGGTAAAATTAACGTGTTTTTACATTTTTATTTTCGAAGGGGGCCCCCCCCCCACCCAGATCCGCCACTGCCCCTCTCTTACCTCGCTCTCTCAGCTCCACCGTTCCTCTCGCTTTCCTCTACTTTTTGTTTCCCCTTTAACCTCCCCTTAGTGGGGTAGTGAGCACATTTTTTTTTTTTTTGGGGGGGGGGCCCTCTTAATTCCCCCCCCCCCCTTGGTGCTCAAGGGGGGGGGGGGGCGGGGCATCTCCCCCAAAAGGTTAAATCGACGTGTTTTTACACGTTTTATTTTTGAAGCGACGGCCCCCCCCCCCCTCCTCCCGGATCCGCCACTGCCCCTCTCTCACCTCGCTCTCTCAGCTCCACCATTCCTCTCTGTTTCCTCTACTTTCTGTTCTCCCTTTAACCCCCCCCCCCCATCAATTCCTCTTTTTTCCCCTGCTTTCACAGAGTCTCCTCATTGTATATTATATCAACTCCCATTTCTTGGCCTTCCTCCTCTTTCAGCCTAACATCATATATCGGGCATATATCATTATTATTGTCCCACTCATTTCTAGCCCTTCCTCCATTTTCTTCCCCATTTCATCCTCTTTTTCCTCACTCAATCCATCTCCTCCCTTCTTCCCTATTCTACTCTATATACCTCTCTCTTCTACCTCCTGCTCCCGCCCTCCTTTACCCCTCCAATTCTGTTTTCCACACTCAGTCTCCTTCTCACCTCGTCCCCTTCTATTCTCTCGATCCTCCTTCCCCACCCTCTCTAAACTCATTCTATCGCCTCATTCGCCGTCTTGCTCATCGTGTTGATATAGGTGATATATTACTATATTATCCTTGTCTCCTTATGTAGAAAACAAAACCTGTTACAATACAAAATATGGGGCACCTATCCCTCTTCACCAACCTCTCCCCGAATCAAAGAATATGTACAACTCATGGTTGGGAGGAACAAAAATTTAAATTTCCTCATAAAAGGAATCAATGTTACTGATCATGCTGAGCTTATAATGCAATCGCTTGTCTTCACACATTCTTTATATATGAAACAGCCCCGACAACTGAGTGGCCGGTGGCCGCCTATCACACTGCCCAAATCGCGTTCCAGAGAAGAACAAAGTCCACACAAAGAAATAAAATTCTCGACAAGAGTCAAGTGTTGAAGTGGATAGTAACTTTATTACAATTTATTACATATAATCATGAAAAGTCACATCTATGGGCTGGAAGCCCCCAACTCTGCTAAAACTTTAGCACCTCATGGCGGCAAAGGAAATGAGGTATGAAACAAAATGAGGAAGTCATCCGAAAAGTAAAAGCTCGTGCCAATTCAGGAACTGCTTCCCATTTTATACCTTCTGACACGTGTGTTGCCCCTTAATAGGGCGTGTCACTACGAGGCATTGCGTCAAATTAATCCCTGGAACCATATACACCCATATTAAAAGGAAATTTAATAATTTTGCGAACTTAACCTCCAGAGTTGAGCTCACCGGACCCACCATTACTCCTCTACAATCCATTGATGTGTATTGCATGTAGTCCACAGTCAGGAGGGTCACAAACCCCTCTACATGTACATCCACTGTCACATCTTGATTCTTGAGATGAACTCGGTAGAAGTATCCACATTGTTTTGGAGTTGCATGCTCCTTCTGGTGACTGCTCCCCCTTCAGCTACTAGTACAGAAAAGTCCAATGGCATCCTTGTACGCAATTCCGACAAGCCGGCTGTTCATGAATAAAATATAAACTATTTTCAAATAGTATACAACTTTAGGAAGTCAAGCTGACATCATCAGTGTATTTCTTCTTCTTTTTCTTCTTGTTCTACTTCTTCTAGTAAGTAATCTTCAAAGAGTTATTCGTTTTATAAAAACATATTGTTCGTTCGACAGGAGTACATTCCTTATTTTCCATGCTTATCAGCCCAACGACAGATCCCAGATAATTATAATAATACATGGTCTTCATGGTCTGAAATGAAATTACTGTATTACCAAACATGCCTTTCATTACTAATATACTACGTTTGCGTAAAAGATCTAATTAAACATTCAGACCATTGTTTTTATGTTTAAAATCACCAATCCAAACGTTGAACTTGGGTTACTGTTGTTAAGAAAATATATTGTGAAAGTGGGATGGGTTGCATGTGGTAAGGATGTGTTGCATGTTAACAATTGCAACAGAAACTTCTCGCTCTTCTATGGGGCGACTTACTTCAGACACTGTCATCTGGCCTCCGAGCTTTAGACAGCAAGGTCCTTGTCTACCATATCATTGTGAGCTTCTCATTCTACCCTTCATTTGCATGAAATACATTACATGTACAGGCACCTGTTTGTATAGAGACATAAAATAAATTCACTTTTACGGCATGTTCATGAAAGCAATGTGAAGTACTAATTATAAAGTGAACAGCAGGGTAGGGTTCTTGCAGAATTTCTAGAACTCGCAGTAAGGGTGTAATAAATATAAACTTTGAACAATACTGGTATGTAGAAAGGGATTTAGGGTAGCCCGAAATTGGGTCTGGCAATGTTGAATACATTTAGGGTTGACATTATGTTTAGCAATGGATCCAGGATTAAAGTTAAGAATTCATTTTGTGTTACAACATAACCAGTACATAAATGCCAATAGAGCACGTTGTAAAAATCGCTGAATTCTTTTAATTGGTAATACAGTGCTACATGTTTCACAAACTGCAGGCCAGTGTGTTTTTACTTTATAAAATCTATTTTAAATGATACTGTGTTACATACTTTTTTTTCTTCCACTCTACATCATGTTTCTGCTTTCACAATACAGAGGAAGATTTTAAAACTACCATTGATGAGTAAAAGATACATGCAGCTCCACCAGCACCTGGAAAATCAAGTTGTACAACACCTTCTCCTGAGACAATTGCTTCACATAATTTTTCTACACTATTAAACTTCATCCCTAGGCCTAACCCTAAACCTAAACCACCTTAATCACAATTCCAACCCTCAGTCTAACCCTACACCTTTGACAAAATAAAGCCTAGAGTAGTCGTTGCAGGAGCAAATGTTGAGTTACTAAAAATGCCATGACAGACTCATATGCTATGAATTTATCTCTGTTTCTTTCCCTGATTTGTTAAAAAAACATTGTAATATGCATTATGAATTACCAGTCCATTGTGCTTCGCTCATATATTGCCAGGCACAAGAGGCCATCGCTTAGAGGTAAGGGGCAGAACATCAAGACTGGAAGTGGAACCTCAAGGCTCAAGGCACCCCATGATCTCTCAACAGCAAGCCCTTCCTCTCCATCTCTGGAACAGAATTATAAAAATATTCAATAAATATTAACCAAATATGTAAGAATACACAAAAATTGCATTATTTTTTTCTTCTTCAATTGTCTTCAATGTTTACTTTCTTTTTCAGCAAAATATGAAGGTCAATTATTTTCTTTTTGCTCGTCATTCTGTTTCGTGTATAGGACTCCCCCCCCCCCCCCCCCATCCCTTCTTCAAGGCCTTCAAATGTTAATTATAAAAAATATATATATTGGAAGTTAAAATACACTATAAATAAACACTACAGCAACTTGTTAGTAGACATCTTGTTGCACACATACCATGTAGCCACCCCTGAATCGATACTTCTCATACCAGCCCTTTGCATACCCCTCCAACTTGGCCTTATTTAATGCCCTCACCCATTTAAAAATTTCCTTTTACTTGACTAACTAAACAGGTGAAGTTTTAAAAAGTCCAAGTTAAAAAAAAAATTAAAAAAAATTACCTTTTCTTGTTGTGGTCCGTTTTCTCCAGGACATTCTTGTTTCAGGCACATACTCAAAGAAGCAAGCATATGGTAATACACTCTGTATATTTCCTGTAAAAGAGAGGGGGAAAATTTATTCTTAAAATAGCTAGGTTCACATTCAGACTCAGTGACTGAAAACAACAGTCACTGCTACAATGTTTGCAGTCTAAAGACTGAGAGTAGAGACAGAGTCTTGACGTAAACTAAGAGACATAGAGTCAAGACTGCGCCAAAAAAAGATCAATACTCTAGAGTAAATTTAGAAACCACTAGCATGACTACATAGGCACTAGACTACACTACACTGCAGAGTGCAGTATACTTCTTCTCCTTCTTGAAGATAATCTGCCTCCTATCCTTCAATACCGGTACTGAAGATTCTTGCAGATGCCGTATATTCATGTATATATATATATATATTCGGCCTGAGTGGGGTGTGCAGGTAGACCACTACATCAGGTTTTTCCCCTATTCTTATACGAATAGTGCCGTGGGTTCTTAACGTGCAAGGGTAGTGATTATCCTGTACACGGGGTCTCCTTTTAACATCCTATCCGAGACGGATTGTTTTCCATGTAACATAGCCTGCGTCTATGAAACAACAAGGGGAGGGGCACGTTAACACACAACGCTTGCTTCAGTCATCCGCTGGGTGCGATTCGAACCCAAGATCTTTGGGCCGACAGGCAGACGCTTTACCGACTGAGCCAATTTGCCTCCTAGTCCTCCTACTGTCTACCGACTAGACTCTAGATTATTTACATTTCTATTTTAATTCTAACTTAACTAAAGTCTAGTGAAATCTTTACTCCAGGGAGCTCCGTCACCGAAGCCCTTCGGAGGCCGTAGGCGGAGTTCTCTGAAGCATGTACATGTATAGCATGGAGTTAGTGAAATCTAAACACTGTTTGGGGGTTTGCAGTTTATTGCAGGAGTTGTTGTTTTGGCTGCTTACAGCTTAGCCTGCCCTTGAAATAAAAATGGAATTTTCAATTCTAAATTTATTAAATCCGACAGCCAAGTCCGGATAACAGCAACGGATGACAGTAGATCTACTACTACAGTATACCACTCCAGCAAAGTATAGACTGATATAGACCGAAAGCTTCAGTCTCTGATATCGACGGTTGTTCTGCTGAAATTGCATCTGGCTCATCTGACCGCCTCTATACATAGACTGAAGTACGTCCTATGGTGACTGAGTGGAACAAATGGTTTGGTTCGGCAGGACCGCGATGAATGAGATATGCAACAAGATTTTTACTCTTTACATCCTCATATATTCACTTTGGCTGTAAAATTACATTTGACTATATTAACAAATAAAAAATAACAAAGAAATATCTACTTTGACTTACGATAGCTTGCTCATTTAGATCCTACATTAACAAGTCAACGCAAAGCGTAGCATCCCCTCGCAGGGTACAAATGGCCTATATACATGTACATCAGAACAAGTTAACTCCATTGGACTATACTATTATATTACTAGGCAAGGAAGTTAACCACATTTTCACATATATGACCTTTCACCTTTCACCTACATACTCGGAAATTAAACTTAGCCTGTATTTTGATATCATGTACCTTCATATCAAATTTCATTAAAATCCGTCAAACATTACCGAAGTTATTGATCGGAATCCAAAATTGTTACGGACGCACGCACGGACGCACGGAAGGGCGGATGGCAGTGTTTCTATATCCCCTCCGACTTCGTTGCTAGGGGATAATGATTAATCCGAGAAAGTCTTGTAGTCAACATGATTCGTTGTCAGCCACCTGGTTTTTAGATGATGAATATTCATTTTTTCTAGACTAGTACTAGCCTAGATCTAGTAGTAGTAGTAGACCTCTAGGTGTCATCAATTGTCACTAGATCTAAGTAAAGTACACATTTTGAGTGAAATCAGCTGAGTTTTGTACAGTGCTGTGTGAAATGTTGAGAATCAATAGCACAGCTTTTAATACACAGCCAGGACGCAGGAGGCGAGTTTGCTCAGTTAGTAAAGCGTCTGCCTGTCGAAGCAAACATGGAGATATAGATCTAGGTCACGTCTACTAGAATAGCGCTTAATACAAATGTCTCTCAGCGCCTTTACTTTAGGCCTAAGCGCTTTACAACAAGTATATAGACCCTAAATATTATTAGATCTACTATCCTTCTTCTTCAAGATAATCTGCCTCCGGCCTCCTTCAATAGACAATACTGAAGATTCTTCAAGATGCCTGCCCTAGAATCTATACCATTGCCATATAGACCTCTACTGTACTTTAGTACTACTACTGGTACTAGGCCTGATTGGGGTGTGCATGTGGACCATTACACTAGGGTCTAGATTTCACTACTTACTAGACCTCTAGCTATAATTTATAGCTACGAATAGTGCAATGAAATGGTTCTTTGCAAGGGTGACTCTCCTGTACACGGGGCCTCCATTTAACGTCCTACTAGTCTATGTTTTCCACTTGACATAACCTGCGCCTATGAACAAGGGAAGGGGAACGTTAACACACTTCAGTCATCCGCCTGGGTTCGGGTCAAACCCGGGATCTCCCTTCTTAGATCTAGACTAGACCTATATAAAAATTAAATATTATTTATTATTATTATGCAGCTAGACTAGATCTATGTATGTTCAGTAGACAGTAGGCCGTAGGGTCTGTTGCGAAAATGCCTGGGAGTTCTAGGGCGGGCACTACATGCAGCTTCCGCTCTCAGGTCGCGCCTGAAATTGGGCAATTTAATTAGATCCGTCTAACTTAGGCCTAGATCTACTCATGCACTCGCCCCGGCCCGGCACACGAGCTCTAACTCTCAGGATCAATCTTTGTTTAACCTCCGGAAAGTATTCAAATATCAAAAAACACATAAATATCACCTTATGAATACGAAATTACGGAATAAATATGACATGTACTTACAGGATTTCTACAGAAAACCGTGTCCAGCACCGAAGTTGCCTAGCTGTTACTGTTGTCACAGATAAGGTCGTTGCATAGAGATACTACTAAACATATATATGGTCGTTGTTTTAGTAGTTGGATATAGGCGCGCGCTAGAGCGAGCGCGACAGTGCAATTAGACTCGTTCGCGAACTATCAATACATATTATTGACTATATAAACTTGTTATTTGTTTTATGAAACGGATTTTTACTTCTATCGCAGATTGAATTCTTAATTAGATGTGTTATAAATAACAAATTTGTTATATTTATTCGATTCTGAGTTCAATGCTGCGGATATATTCGAGTCTCTTAAGACTTCTGGTGCATTTGAGTCTTGAACAAGACTATTCAGTCGCTACCCTTGGTAGGCTGTTCTTAAAGAAAAGATCCGCAATTGTCAATGACTGCTAATTTGTGTCGATCACGTTGTCATTTAAGTTGTAGGCAGTTTTGTTTGTTAAAGTTCTGTTTCAAAGGGAAACAATTATCTTCATAAGCCAATTAAGTCGAATTCAGAAGAATGTTAGATGGTGCAGAGGTACAGCTCAATTAGACTATACTGTGAAACTAAGGTCAGTATAGCTAGAGAAACACTGATAATGAATATATGATGATGACGATAATAATAATAATAGTAATAATAATGATAATAATAACAACAATAAAAACTTACAATAATGATAATAAACCATATGTTTGAGGCTTGGAGCTTTTATGTCACTGAGTCAATTCAGTTCGCACCATTTGACAGTTTTGGTTAAATTATGCTCTCGCCAGATCAGACATTGAATATATATTTTTCAAATTAAAACTTTGTATGTATTCAAAAACAAAATTGAATAGCGGAACTACAATTCATCGCCCCAGATTTAATACCGCTTGAACACTCATGCTGAGGATCAATTTACAAGAAACATAATAGCATATATACCTCAAAGTTAATTGTGCTGAAAATAAAGTTTATTGAGGGGGTGCATTAAAAGAAAACATATGGAGATAATGAATAATAACATATGCAAGGTAAAAAAAAAAAGCCCAAATCTATACCATATAGATGAATACCAAGGTTTGATTGTTCTAAAACGACTGCAGGATTAAATAAATTCCTATTATGCGAATGATTTATTTAACATGAAATGGGTATACATAAACATTGTTAATATCGTGATATCCAATAATCATACAACTTAAATAGTTTCATACACACTAAGCAGTGGCAAACCCTACACACACAACAGCTCTTACATCTATTTGTCACATATTGCAGCTATAATCTTCTATAGATTTCTTGTGTTAGAATATTCACCACATAATGTGTATAATTTTGTTAGTTTTACACTAAGTATTATGGAAAGACATAAGAACGTATTAGGTTCAACTTTGCATATGAACTGCATAATAAATAAATGGCAGGAAAAAAAAAATCTGAATTCGTCTAATTGCTACGCAAATTCTACCTTTAATTAAACGTAATTAAACGACGTGATACACCCTTTCCTGCATGTAAAATACACGACGTGTAAATCGATTTCCACACAATCTGTCACGAATGGGATCCATCCTGAATGGAAAAATGTGTATGTACGAAGGTTTACAGTTCGAGATGGTGTTATTGTCCTGTTTAGGTACTTTGTTCAACTTTTTGTCTTGCGCTTTAAATTGATGATTCAAACTTTGTAGAGTGATAGTTCATGCCATTACATATTTTTAGAATCAATTTTTGAAACACGGTTACATTAAAAACATATTTAAAAATTAATTAACCTAATCTATTTTGAAGAGCGCCCTCGCTTTTATCCTCGTATCGACGTACCTAATAATATTGCACTTTACTTTTATGTCAGCTTTTTTTCTGGTCAATATAGAGGTTTCTTTCAGCTAGATTCCTTTCGTGTGCATTCAACCTTCTTTCAAATTGGTCTTACAACTGATTGGATTCAAATGTTTGTCCCTAAACGGAAAATGTGCTTAAATAGCGCATTGTTCTTAATATGTGTGCCATGTTTTGTCAATGGAGGCTTCTAATTGTAGCCACTGCCCCCTTTTAAATATAAGACGGATTATCTACAAACTATATTAAAACCGTGTAACAATTTAGGAAATTTATCAAGGAGAATTACAAAAAATGATTATAGATTATTGAAAATAAAATTTAGCCATGCCCATACATTCAGTAGAATTGCCTTAGTAAGATATATTGAATGTCTTAAATCATAGATGTAATTTTAATTTTAACGGGGCATTGCAGGAAAATGTGAAAAATAGTATTTGACAAAATATTGTGCATCAGTTTATAAAATGTACATTGTATGAGTGATGAGGGGCAGCATTGTAATGAAAAGCTTGACAATTTTGGCCCTAGAATATAGTTTTTTGATTTTGTTGTTACATAAGAGGGTTTTCATGACATGCAGTGAAATCACAGGGTTATATCAATGCCCTTCTAGTTCCCAATTTGCGACATAGAGTAGAGAACACCGATGTGTTTTGAACAGCTATCATGTTTCTGTGGAGATCCAGAATATAATCTAGCTCTGAGCAGATGTTTTACTTTTCTCGGAATCTCACAGCCCTTAGTCCAAATATTTTTACTTTACTTTAGCGGCGTCCTACCGGTTTCTCGTAATATGATGGACCAGGACTCCCCTCTCCAAATCTCAACAACCCATTTCACATCAAGTCTCTCTTAATCACACCAAGGCACAGCTGGCAGCCATTATACTTAAAGTATGTGGCGTCTACACTCAGGGGCGGATCCAGCCGGCGAAAAGAGGGGGGGGGGGGGCAAATCTTGAGAAAACAATTTAGCGCCGACTAAGCCGGCCGGTGAAAAATGAAAAAACGCGGGGGGGGGGGGGGGCTGGGTGTAGAAGCACATTTTTTTTGGGGGGGTACAGTTTTAGAGGAAAAATTTAGCGCCGACTCAGCCGGCTGTGAATAAGCGGGGGGGGGGGGGTAAGAGCACATATATATTTTTTTAATATATTGGGCCCACTTCGTGAGAAAATATTTAGCAGCGATTCATCCAGTCGGTGAATACGCAGGGGGGGGGGGGTGTAATATTTTGTTTTGGTGTGGGCGAAATTTTTTTAAAAAAATTTGGGCGCCGCTTTTGTTTTTGTTTAAAAAAAGGTTAAATTTACGTTATTATCCTATTTTTTTAAACATTTTTTTTAGACTAGAGGGTGGGGGGGAGCAGGGCCGGAAAAATCGCCACGTGGATCCGCGTCTGTCTACACTGACTTAATGGCACAAACGAACAATTCAAAGACATGAAATTGCAAAAGAATAAATCTCATCCAGTTTGAAGTACATGTAGTACAATACTGATAAAATCGTTTATTAAAGATATAATTCTTCTGTCAATATTGTTAGAAGAAACACATTCTTGGTAATAATATAACGTCGGGTATTTAGGGTAGCTGAACAACAACAAATGTAAAAACACATAGATGTTTATACAGGCAAATAAAGTACAAATTGCATTCAGAGAAAGGATCCATCACCAAAGAAAAAAACAAATTATAATAGAACCTACAAATGTACTCGTTATTACACATCTCATGATTGCAATTAATATAAAGATGTCAATACAAGTTGATACTATGAAAGAGAGAAAAGACTAATGCACATGCCTCTCAAAAAAGACATACAAAAGACATAACCTCGCACTCATCAGAGCGAAACTGGAGAACATAGAGCCAAAATAACTACACTACTTTAAGATCCTTTCCTATCCAATCCAACAAGTCTGAAAATTTGAGACAAAAGGCATCATTATGTAATTGCTGAACTAACCCAATTACACATTCCTCTATCGATTGATTTGCTTGAGAGGAATACCTATAGGGGGGGGAGGGGTATCTGAAATGATATGTGACATCCCATCAAGGAGTGAAAAGAAAAGTAAAGGAATGCAACATGATCGACCCCTCCCACATATGCTCCAACTTGAGATTCCAGTTATCTGTCTAAACAATTAATTCAATTAATAAGAGCAGCAGCCCCCCCCCCCCCCATGACATCAGTGCCCTCTCAGTAACTCAACCCATGCTAAACTATTAACACTACCGATTAATTATCAAAAACCAAGATCATGACAAGATATCAGTTGAAAAGTCTTAAACTGCCTATAACAGGAATATCAATAATTTAAGTTAAACTTACACTGTACATGCACTATGTATTTTCTGAGAAGACTGTAGGTATTTGTTTAACCTTTTCCCTCATAAAAGATAGAGAGATTATATAAAACTTGCACACCAGAGAATTCGAAAATTTACCAGCAATTACCCTTAGCTTAATTACCTAATGTGATGGGTGTATTTTTGCTACCAAAGAATACATGCCAAAATAAAATCAATATGATTTTAAAGAATTGTATACATTTGAATGTGGGCAATTCAACTAAAATTGACCATGAGCCGAACTCATGAAAATTGGCAATGACTTCAAAAATATATATTTCCTGTAATGACAAATTTAGTACCAAACACAGGAAAAAAGGTATACAAATAGGAAAAAAATCACCCCGTTCTTTTCTTTGAGTAGAATAATAATATTGAAAATTGTTTACGCATGGCTTAATTGGGTTAACATCTAGCAAGAACTTTAGTACCCAAAAAATGCTCCAAAAAGAAATTGTATAGCAATTGTAAATAGTATAACCTTATATTTAAACAATTATGTTCAGAGTATAAGCTTTTGTTGATACCTAAATAAGACTTATTACTTATTGAGCTCTAAAACTCATACAGTTTTGAATTAAACCGACAATGGGTAATGAAAGAAATGAAATCCCATCGCAAACACAAATAAAAGCAGTCACAAAAAGTCAACACCACCCTCTCCTCAGAAAATACATGCCTATAATTGTGATTTCAAAATTCTGTAATAACCGATACATTGGTTAATTGGTGTGAAAAACCTAAATACAAGCTAAACATAATGAATAAAAAGATTGATTAAAAAGATACTTCATTCTGAGATGACTCTTTTGTAATTAATCAAAATTGTAATAATAATCATAATGCATGTAAGTACTTTAATTGCTGATTTAGAGAGAAGGAGAAAAAGTACATGAGAGGGGAGGATAAAAGAATGAAGAATGGAAAAGAGAAGAATGAAAAACAATAATATGGTAAGCAAAAATAAATAAATACAAACATGACAAAGATAATTAAAATCACAGTTGGTTGTTAAGGAGTTGTACGATATAGGGAATAATTGAAGTGCGGTGTCTCTCAGTTCTACAATAGGGTATAGTTATGTGTAGAGAGTTTCATAGTTCATGGCAAGAGGTTTGGCGACGAGTTGGCGATAGAACATAATTCGATCTCGTGATGACTTAAACAGTTTGAGAGAAAAGGATTCAAGAAGGGCAAGACGGCAAGAAGTTAGACTCTGGAGAGAAACGAGTGGTTTCATACAACTGTTCTTATCCAAGGATAATACAGCAGACACGTTTCTGCACTTTCTTCAGACTGCAAGATAACTGTTCGGGAAATTGATGTGGACCAAACTGGAGAAGCGTATTCTAGCGAAGATCGGATATATGTCGAGAAGATGTCTGCTAGATCTTCACATGATACTCTGAGATGTCGTAAATGTATAGTCGCTTGCCGGCACTTGATATCATATCAAACACTTGGAAATTCCATTTGAGATCTGACTGTAACTCCCAGAATTGTCGGAGTGGTGCAGTTTTGGATGGCCTTGTGGTCTAGGTGCAGCATTTGAAGGGCTGGTTGGATACACTTGAGGAAAACTTACTTGGATTTGGTTTTGAACTGCTCACGTGAGTAAAATTCCTTGTCCATTACTAGCTAGTACTTCTGTACTTGTCATGTCTAGTATAGTTACACAGAGTCCAGTTTCTCTCCAACTATTCAGTTACATACTGTGCAATGCAGTGAATGCTCCTGATGGTAAAATGTATCTAAATCACTGACTGTTCTTGCCCCTTTTAATTCTCCCGCAAGATGTCTGAAATGACCATGGTTATTTCAAAATCGCATGTCTTTTCAACTGGAGTTCACCATTCTTTGGGATGTGCTGTTTTGTTTTGGGGAAACCAGGTGAATATTGCTCCACTGATAACTTTGGTCGAGCCATTTGATGCAGTGTTGAAGTTGTTCCTTTGCTAGTAGCTCTATCAAATAAAAGAAACAAAGAGAAAAGAAAAAAATTCATTAAATTTTGATAAAAAGTGAAGGAATAATGTAATAACGGATGCTGAGCTTGAGCAAAGCTGCAAAGGAGATAAAAAAGGGACACCAATCAGACTACTGTAAGATAATTTTTCATTTCAACACTTCGACACAAATTTCCTTACGTGCTTGAGGCTCTATTTTGTTTCCTTTGCAGGACTTTATCTGTTTCAAAGTATTGCAGACTGCTGGCCTCAACTTATCTTCACATTACTGATTTTTTTTTAAATAAATAGTGTATAATATAGGCTTAAACACTATCATTTTAATCTTGAATAAATACCCTTTTTACTTTGTACAGATTAATGTGGCACATTTAAACATTAATATGAATATCATAAGTAGGTGTTTCTTCTAAATGATCCAACAGATGCAATACTAATTGGTAAAGATCGAAAATTACATATCTTGAAAACAGTCCAACATGAAGAAAACTGCACGTTCTCGCAAAACAGTTTATGTTATGCCTCAACAATAACGTTTGCTGTAAAAAGTGTGTGACTATTTCAACACTCTATGCTAGTGGGAGGCGGGTCCGCCAAAACATATATCTTGAGATCAAAGTATCATTAGATTAAATTTTCATTCCTGGATTTTGTACAGTTTGGGGTTTCAGAGATTAAAAAATAAAAAATAAAATCCCTCCATTGTGTAAATTCTATAACGTTATCTGTATTAAACAATGTGAGAGTTTTTTCTATTGGCATAAAGAGAAATCCTTATGTGACCTTTGACCTACTTACCCCAAAATATAATCAGATTGTCTTCCTAAAGTGATACATACATGTACTATTAGCAGGTTTGAAGTTCATACCTCAAATGATTACTAAGATATCGCAATTACAAGGCTTAAAACGCATTCATTAAAAAAAAAAGTGGCAACAACCAAAGGAAATTGGAAATGCCCTTTAGGCTCCCTGCACCAAAAGCAGGCATGGTGTTAGGACTTGTATGTGACAGAAGTAATTGTGAGGCAAAAGAAGCTGTGAAGGTGGAAGGATAGCGAGGATATCGTACATGATCAAGAATGTCAAATGCAATCAGATCTATAAACGAAACTTAAAACAGAATTGGGTGTACAGAATCATGCTACTTGTATGACATCAAAGTATGCCCCCCCCCCCATACCCCATGCTAAAACAAAATTCACTCAAATGTGAAGATGCAAGGAAATTTATAAAATTGACTTAATCTCTGGGAAAATCACAAATGATGGGAACACTGGATGTAGCATTAGGTGTATAGGATCATGCTACTTGTATAGCATCAACGTATGACCCCCGCCCATGATGATTATACGACTGAGAGTGCGTCAACCATGATCACTGCTGTTAATAAGACAGCCCCACACCCATTGCTGCTTCGATGTACTTACCCCAATATGTAATTTCTTTCATAGCAGGTAATTAGCAGGCAAGTGGTTGTGTCTAAGGGTTGAATAACAGCTTCAATTGAGGCAAAGTGTCCCCAGTGCTGTCAGCTGCACCATAAGCAGGCACGGTGTTTAATAGGACTTGTTACAGAGGCAATTGTGAGGCAAAAGAAGCTGCGAAGGTGGATGGATAGCAAGGATCTCCTACATCTTCAAGCATGTTTGGTTTCTGTTCATAATAGATGCAATATTAACATGAAATTACACTAATTTTATGACAGCTAGCATTCAAATCAATGTGAAGATGTAATCAAATTTATAAACGTAACTTAAAACAGAATAGGGTGTACAGAATCATGCTACTTGTATGACATCAAAGTATGACCACCCCCCCCCCCCCATGCCCCATGCTAAAAGAAAATTCACTCAAATGTGAAGATGCAAGGAAATTTATAAAATTGACTTAATCTCTGGGACAATCACAAATGATGGGAACACTGGATGTAGCATTAGGTGTATAGGATCATGCTACTTGTATAGCATCAACGTATGACCCCCGCCCATGATGATTATACGACTGAGAGTACGTCAACCATGATCACTGCTGTTAGTGAGACAGCCCCACATCCATTGCTGCTTCGATGTACTTAGTACTTACCACCATATGTAATTTCTTTCATAGCAGGTAATTAACAGGCAAGTGGTTGTGTCTAAGGGTTGAATAACAGCTTCAATTGAGGCAAAGTGTCCCCAGTGCTGTCAGCTGCACCATAAGCAGGCACGGTGTTTAATAGGACTTGTTACAGAGGCAATTGTGAGGCAAAAGAAGCTGCGAAGGTGGATGGATAGCAAGGATCTCCTACATCTTCAAGCATGTTTGGTTTCTGTTCATAATAGATGCAATATTAACATGAAATTACACTAATTTTATGACAGCTAGCATTCAAATCAATGTGAAGATGTAATCAAATTTATAAACGTAACTTAAAACAGAATAGGGTGTACAGAATCATGCTACTTGTATGACATCAAAGTATGACCACCCCCCCCCCCCCATGCCCCATGCTAAAAGAAAATTCACTCAAATGTGAAGATGCAAGGAAATTTATAAAATTGACTTAATCTCTGGGACAATCACAAATGATGGGAACACTGGATGTAGCATTAGGTGTATAGGATCATGCTACTTGTATAGCATCAACGTATGACCCCCGCCCATGATGATTATACGACTGAGAGTACGTCAACCATGATCACTGCTGTTAGTGAGACAGCCCCACATCCATTGCTGCTTCGATGTACTTAGTACTTACCACCATATGTAATTTCTTTCATAGCAGGTAATTAACAGGCAAGTGGTTGTGTCTAAGGGTTGAATAACAGCTTCAATTGAGGCAAAGTGTCCCCAGTGCTGTCAGCTGCACCATAATCAGGCACGGTGTTTGATAGGGCTTGTGACAGAGGTAATTGTGAGGCAAAAGAAGCTGCGAAGGTGGATGGATAGCGAGGATCTTCTACATCTTCAAGCATGTTAGGTTTTCTGTTTGTATTAAAAAGATGCAATATGAAAATAAAATTAAAAAATTGCTCAAACGGCATTCGATCACTCCAATTTGAAGATGCAAGCAAATTTATAAAATTGACTTAAATAATGTTTGGAAAAATCACAAATGATAGGAACCACTGGATGCTGAATTGGGTGTATAGGACCACCCTACTTGTATGGTGCAAAGTATAACCCCCCCCCCCCTTATGGCTTATATTCATGACTGAGAGGTCAACCTTGATCACTGCTGTCAGTGTAAGGGTTGAATAACAGCTTCAATTGAGGCTTAGGGGGGGGGGGCTAAGTTTTCAGAGGGGGGGGGGGTAAAATGTCCTTTTGCGGTAATTGTCAGGGGTGATTGTCCAGGGGGGGGGGGGGTAATAGTCTATAGAACCCTATAACAACACGTACTACACCGATGCAGAATTAGGTGCATAGGATCATTACCCCCCCCCCCCCTCCCTCCACTATAAATAGCTTTCCCTGAATTGTTCAAGTCAGTGCTTATTGTGTACTACTGTATATGCCCTTTGCTTGTTCGTATACAACAGTAATTACCAAAACAATAACATTTTTTTCTTCAAAAATAGAGTTGGGCCAGTGTATGATCCTAAGAAACAATTTTACCCAAAAAAATTACATTGATAACTCATTTCAATGAAAACATATAAAATCTGATTGATTAAAATATAATGAAATTATAACATAAAGAACAATTAATATACTCCATCTACAAAATATTCAGTGAAAAATCCTGGTTATTATGTGTTAATGGCCAATAACATGCTGTCTGCTCCATAATGCATCATCATTCCATTTTGCCATTTAATGGTCCCAAATACAAAAATAGATAGTTTTTTTTTTTTTTTTCAAATCTTGTGATGTGTATTTCTAACAATGAGTTATTCCTATCATTCTCTATCTTTATGAAAAAGAAAAATAATAATTGCAAATTACAATTATGGATGTGGCTCTTTTACTTGTCCTTGCATGGCCCTAGCTTGACTTCCTGCAGGGTACTTTGTGCCAAGTGAGTGGAATTGATGTGAGGAATATTGCCATTTTCAGTAGGGGCACTGGTCTGAGAATGAAGATTGTCCGCATAAACAAGAATATCCTGGTAAACGCGGACAAGTCTCGACCTAAAAAAATAAGGATAGTCTGCAATTTTCACAGACGTTTTTTCTTCTTCGGTGCTCTGCGGGTACAGGGTTCCTGATCCGCGTGCTGGCAATTAATGCGAAAAAACGGATTCCGCGTAATAAAATACCCCCAGTTCACCGTCTACTTTCTATGGGTTGTCCGTCTTCCCTAGGATTTATTGTTCATAAAAGTGAAAGTCTCTGCGTAAGTGTAAAATGCATTATGAAGCATCATCGCGGAATTCGTTTTTCGCATCACCAACGCGCGGATCAGGAATCCGGATCCTTCACAAAAATGTGGATGATCCTTATTTTTCTGGATGCGAATGGTCTGCGTTTACGAGGGTATTGTCGTTTATGCGGACGATGCTTATTCACGTACCAGCACCCCTACTGATTTTGTGAATAAACCATTGTTGTTGTTTTTTATCGTGTAGGCCTATATAATCTACAGACATGTGCAAGCATTGCGCACAATGAACCGTTAGGCTATACTGTGCAGAGTCCTTGAATGAGTGGTGGAATATTTCACAAGCATGTCAAGAATTTGTAGACAATATGGTCATCTTGACTATAAAATAATTATTTAAAATGAAATACCTACATAGTACATTGGCTATATAGCGCCAAACATGCCAAATGAGGAGAGTGAGCAGCACAAATAGCCGCAGTATTATCAGGGTTTGCCCAAAATTTCATTGAATTTTCTGTTGATCTAGACAGAGTCTATCATAAAGTCTATCGATGCGCAAACGCTAGTGAAACAAAGTGCAATGGAATAAAATCAAGCTTTCAAGGGGCATTTTTTGCATTTTTTCAACGCGATTTTGAGCTGTGACTGTGAGTGTGAATCAGATGAAATTAAATAAGAGAACTGATTTTTTAAGGTTATTTAAACTGCAGTATGATTTTGAAGCATCATAATGATTTAGATCTATATTCAATATTCAATTGAACAATAATTTACATTTTCTCCTATTTATAATTTATTAGGCCTAGACACCTAACGTTAGATCTAGATCTAGGCTACCGGTATTTGTTTTGTAGACCTAGAAATCTACATGCATGTGTGGAAAAGTACTAATAGGAAATGAGTTTTATGACGTCGATACCGGTTAATTAATGGCTAGACCTTATGCATTGAAATTATAGGAGTGTGAAGTGGAATTTGGTATGCTCAAGTTGGATGAATTTTGATTGTACAACACTTTTTCGTAGAAAAATTGCCAACACACACACACAAATAACGATAGAATCACACACAGAAAAGTTTATATTTGGGACTACTAGATCTAGGTCTCATGAAATACAAAGGCAAATGGTTTTCAAACAATATTAGTCCTTATAATTAGACTCTATCGATTATTCCTCTGACTTAGATGAATATCTAGATCTATATATTTAAAACTTACGGTATACATTGTAGATATTTTTGGAGTGAAGACAAGGAACCACCAGCAGGGCAAGGCTAGCTGCGCCGACCAGCTGAAACTGTATCTGATGCTAGCTAGCCGCAGGAATGCGAGCTCTGCGGGTCTAGCGGGGACGCCGGCGGTCGACGCCAGTCCTGGGCGTACTGCAGAGAGCTAGCCTTGCCGGGTCGCGCTAGCTAGCCCTGCCAGCTAGGCCGGACCCATGGGGAGCGTCGGGGTTTTAATGCCCCCTTTTCCTTCCAAAAAAAAGCCAAGAATTTTCAAATAAATGTTCAGTTTACGCATTCAGAAATGCCTCAGAATGTACCATAAAGCATCTCATAGTTCAATTTTTTCTTTGGCCCCGGACCCCACGCCGATTTAACACTTCATGCCCCTCCTTTAAAAAAAAACTCTTGGATCCGCCGCTACAGCGGGTCGAGCATGATGTATTTCGCATAGGCTGCACTCCCTGATAATACGCACGCGTATTCCGCACAAGCATTCCCAGCAACTTACTGTTACAGAATATAATCTAAAGGCGACGATCTACAGAAGCTGAGTAGCGCGCGCGCGCTGGAAGACTTGTTTCCTCAGTATCTTACTGGGTCATCACTATACTCTAGGAGACAATATAGTTCGGGTACCTTACTATTGCAACTATATCACCTAGGTTATCAGATTATATTCTGCTCTGATATTAACCGACCACATTGGGTAATCCGCTACGGTACTTTGCTGACTCGATTATTGGTATCAGGTGATATATCATGCTGACATCCAACAGGCCTTGTATGCCTGTATAGATATATAATGATATGTTTTCTATTTCCTCAGAAATCCTTATAACTGTAGGGTAACGCCGTCTGGGAATACACAAAACACTATATAGGCCTTTGGGACGGTTCTCCAAAACCCTTTTTAATACAGAAGATTATTTTCAAACTTTGATTTAAGCATTCAAAGCTGGACAAAATTAATTGAGCCTAACTTTTAAGAATGAACTGAGTAGTACAAATGTAACCCTTAGCTGTGATTATGGCTAACGATGTGTACCCTTGTTGCTTGTTTTGATAGAGGGGAAGGAACTATTTATCGCCTGGATTGAAAATAGGGACCCTTCTCCAACGAAGAACGGAATGCTTGAAATACTGGACGACTTCTCGTTAGCGATTAAAAACGTAACCACGAGTGATGCCGGCAAATACTTCTGCAAAGTATCGGATGATAGAGGTCACTTGATCTGGAATAAAACTGATCTCCAAGTTGCTGGTAAGCTTCCCATTTGTAAAAACCGAAGGGGAACGTTCGTTTGTAAGGGCCTAATTATATTTGAAAATGACAAATTCATAACCATGATGATTCAGTGGCTTGTGGTTCAAATGCAGTCCTTTTCTTGAATGTCTTTTTTTAAATCCCTTTTTCAGTATTTCATACCTATATATTTACATGACTTCTAATTGGATTTGTCAAAGATTATTTGTGTCACTATTCATAAGTCTCGGAAGGCAATTCTTTGAGATAAAAAAAAATATTAGCTGTGACATAATACTTCTGGTTATGTGTACGTGGATCATTCAGACGTTTTTTTTTCTGGTAGCTGACGCCAGTGTGACAGGGGCAAGCACCAAATAAGCACGTTCCTATCCTTTTCATATCCATCCTGGCACGTACAAATGTATGGTCTAGAATGCTGTCTGAGTGGCACTAGTGATGACACTAATTATTTCCTTATAGGGTCATTTAGTTTTTATTAATAACAAAATAAGTTTCATGCTAACTTTATTTCAAGAATTTGCTTGCATCACCAGTAGATCACAAACAAAAACAGACCGACAGGGGGTCATCCTTCTTCCTCCATTTATCTTCTTCTTGTTCTTCCTATCCTTCGTCTTATCCATTTTCTTCTTCTTCTTTTTCTTCATTTATTCTGCCTCCACTTCTTCCTCCTTTTGTTTTTCTTATTCATGTCTTTCTTATTTATTCTTTTTCTTCGTCCTAGTATTCTTCTCCTTGTTTTCTTTTTCTTCTTCTCTTTTTCCTTTTTTTTAAATTCTCTTTTTCCTTTTTCTTATTCTTTCTTTTGTTTTGTTTTGTTATTCTTTCTTATTTATTTTCTTCTTGTTCGTCCTTCAATTCTACAGTTATACATTTGTGTAATTCAAATCCAAAATTTGGCGCAGTGTTAGATATGCTATCGCTTAATCAAAGAAAACACAGACGAGTCTATAGACGAGATTGTTTTTTTCACTAGCCGAGGTCACACAAGTCTAACAAGTTTGTAATGTTAGACTGTATATGATACAACAAACGCTTTTATTTTTCTTGTTGATTTAGATTGTATGATATGATTATCTCATAATTTCTTGTAACTTAGTTTAGAATAATATAGATAATGTTTTTTGTTATGCAATGGAACAACAAAACTTACACACCTGTATAATTACTTTTGTATACTTTGTAAAATGTTGTTTGTAAGTTAGTTATTGTATACAGTTTGTAATTTTCTTGTTGAAAATGGAAGAAGAAAAAATTATTGGATGAAGAGGCAATATTTAAGTTCAGTACATGAAGGAAGATTTATGATCACAATTAGCGGATTAACAATGGCCATGATGGCATATTACAGTGGCACCATTCATGCCATCACAACTTACGAAATTTCAAAAGTTGTGAGGGTCAGGAAGCTGATAATTTGATAATTTAGCCCCTTGTGAGCCTTGGTCCTTTATCATCCAATCCCAACAAATAATTTTGTTTGCATGCTTGTTTGATTTGTTTTGTTTTTGTTATCATTTTTGTGTGCATGTGTGTGGTTTGTTCCCATTTATAGTTCCACCAATGAAGCCCTTTCCACTCATTGATCTTTGTACACCTCCTGGCTTGAATGATAGCTCCCAATGTCAACTTCGGGTGGACAATTCTTCTACTGTCGAACTGTCCTGCACGGCCAATGGAGCTTCAGCCGGACTGACTACCCTCTACTGGACGCACAACGGCAGTGTGATCAGCTCAGAAGATAAGATGACCATTTCATCCAATGCGGATGGAACTGAGAACGTGACGTCTACCATCACAGCACATCCTAGTAACATACCCTTTATCTGCGTTGCAACCCTAAACGTTACCAAGGTTGTTACTAGTACAACGTCGGTCATAATAAAGCCATCCACGACAGATGACAGCATCAAGCATGCCGACAACCACATCCGCAACACCGTTTTAGCAGGTCAGAATACTAAGTGTTTTCATTTTGTTCCGATTGAAGAGAAGGTTCTAGGGAGAGTCGAAAAATAATTTGTGAGCGTTTTCATTGTTATTGTTCAATTGTGGAAGAACATCAGACAAACAAAATGTTCCCTGAGAAGCATGGCTCTTCAAATGCCTTCATATTCTAAATATGACATGTGACAGCCCTTAAATGTGGGCCTTATTTTTATGCCAAATGTTTGTGTAGTCCCAAATACATCAATCTTGTACGTGCTTGCTACATTTACCAAGACTGGGTCAAATTCCTTTTCATTTTGATGATTTCAGAACCTTGTAGTACAGACCAATACTTATATGCTACATGGTCATCACTCATTTGTATATGTCTTTATTAATTTAATAACGAATCTCCATGTCACAATATCACGGTATTTACCACTCAAAATAATAGCCCAAATTTCCGAGGGTTGGGGCCCGTGAAATGTACCCTATTTCTAGGACTTCAGAACAGTCCATGCCTACAAAATGTTGATATCGAAAGAATGTGTCGAGACAATAAATAAAAGATGTACATGTTTTGGCAAGACAATTATCTTCATTTGCCCCTCTCCATCCTGTTGAAGTAAACGGGCACCAGGTGGAAAGAACTTACTTCAATTATTTAGCGCCGTCTCATGGCTTAGCTACTTTACAGCTGGAATAATTATTCTCTGTATTAGGTACAATATATGATATTGTTAAGTAGCTGTGCTGTATATTCAAGTTCTAAGACTGCATAGTAAATATCTTACCATAATATTTCTATGTGATTTTTTTCATAATGCAGTGATTGGGACCATGGTTTTGCTTGGTAAGTTGAAGAATTGTAATTGCATTTAAGACAGTGATTATGATTGATTATTGTTTTCGTTAAGTTGACAAGTAGTTAGCACAACCATTGACTTGTGGGCACCTCCTTGTTAGATTCAGGGAGTTTAGAGAATAAAAGAAACATCCGCAGCAGCACCCCTAATGAACAGTATCGCTGTTATGATCAAATTGCTTTCCAGATGCTTTTTTACTAAATATTCCTCAAAAGAGAATGTATTTACTCTCACAGAAAAAATAGTTTTGTCAATAAAGATCTACTACATGTGCGGTGATATTAGGTGGGGGTCTATTTCATTATCTTACAGAGTATATTTTCGGTGTGGGTGAAGTCTGTCTTCCTCACTTCAATGATAATGATTATTGTTAAAGATTGGGGCACTGAGACTTCACCCGCTTATGAATCTATTGTCTTTGTTTTAAGTGGACATCATACTGATTTTTCTTCTCAGGACTTGCAGTCACAAGCGTATGGCAACTATACAAAAAGAAGGATCGACTTTGTGGCGGACCTAATAAAGAAATGGCGGCGTAAACGAGGTATGTATACGTACAGGACATGCCCTTGAACTGTTGCTGTGCTACAGCATGTAATATCATTGTCTTTGGATGGGTTGTTCTCGGGGGTCTTAGTCAAATATATATGCTGTAAGCATGCGTGTAATTAGGTTTTTACAGACGTGTATCAATCAAATAATCATATCTGATTGATACACGTCTGTAAAACCCCAAATAGATACACACACAGTGACTAAAAACGCGTATAAAGGGGAGTGTTTTTTTTTTGGACGCGGTCCTTGTGCTTGCGGTGCCGCATTAAGGGGTTTAAGAACGTCTATTTGGGGGCCATTTTTAAGAAAAAGGATTCTTTTTTAAAATGGTTTAAAATCCTGCTGTACGCGCCGGTATACGCGTTTGGGGTATTTTTCTAGCCCTAAGGGTCAGATTTAAATTTAACCCACGGTTTAAACCCTCGTTTACATAACCCATGGATTAAAATTAGCGCAAATTCTCATTATATATCTCCAGGAATGCACCTTAGCTAGCTACAAGCGCGTTATTTGAAACGATTTTAAATTAATATTTTCAGTAGATCAAAATGGATGCCCAAGATACCGACCCAGACCTACCAAATCTCACGCCTATAGCTGGTCCCTATTAATTTGTTTTGCACAGTTAGTAGAATAGTAACTGTTCATTGTACATTGTGTACTCTTTTTAAACACTACATGTATAAAATAGCACAAATTTGAAATGTAATTCTTTTTTTTCAAAGTAAGAACTTATGATAGCTATATACATTAAATCCATTTGGAAATGCACAAGTTGATGTTATTGGTTCTCTATTTAAATGAGTGTTTATGTTGTAAATTTTACAGTGCAAGTTGATTATTTGTTTACATTGTCAACAAATTAAATGGTGATCTGTGTCGCACTTCAAAATACTCAAGGGGTTACAATAATGTTTCTAAATACTTGTCTAGGAGTATACTTTTTTGAAATACCCGTTTAGGGTGTGAATTCGAAAGAAAAGAAAAAACACGCGAAATCATCATTTAAGGTGTATTTTGGCTTCAGAAGAAATCCACGTTTAGGGGATGTCTGGAAAACCTGTGGTCTCATTGAGATTAACTCTCTTTTATTCATTCTTTTTTGCAGAAAACGTTTGAGCAGTTGATGATACGACCGTTCGTTTGGGACCAGACAATACTTTAAGCGTTCTGTGGTGAAAATTCCTCCGGCTGATTTTGTTTTCTTCTTGTTTTCAATATTAACAGAATTCTAGTAACTCCTTTTCATATATTGTACTATGTTAATGCACATACAGAGGTAGACAAGTGAAATCCAGTAATCAGCTTAAACAGCTGAACTGTGACATTTATATCCAAATTAGACTGGTATAATTTATTTAAATATATTAGTGCGTACGCACATAGTTTAAGACTGGAGCATGGAGTACGGTCGTGTAGAATATTTTTTTGTTTTCAAGTGATGTTCACTTCAACAACATTACAGAACATGTTGTTGTGGGACTGCTAAGTACGTGGCATTTTATGGGAGGTTAGCCTAAGCATTCCTCAAATGCTTGGAAGCTATTTTTGTCAACATTTTTTTCACTGGTTTACAAGATTTATTGTATAAATGTGATATGTTTCCCCCAATGACTACGTGCGTTGTAGTATTGCATTAAGGCCAATGTAGTGTTCGTGCGTTAGATCTTTTGTACACAAATAAGCGGGAGATACCAATTTTGCTGTCTGCTCAAAGGGTATAAATAGGGTTTCCTTTCGCAAACAAATTAGTTGGTTTATGGTCAGCTCTATCTTTACTGGTAAAAAAGAAAGTAGAGTAATCTCCCTGGAAATACAGTCCAATACAGTTTTGATAGATTACTTCGTGAGTACACAATCTTAATGGCATAGTAAACAATAATAAGAGCTTCCATTCAGGGATTTCATTGAGATGATAGTTATAGGGGTTCGTCACCCTGTCTGTTGAAGTCATTTATTGTGGTGTTGATGTCTCGTCACCGCTACGATTGATTTCAATTTGTTAGACATTGTATAGCATTTTGTCAGCAAAGCACTTTCTCCTCTTAAAGGGACTTGGTAACAATGTAAAAATGGGAGAAAATGGTGCTAAGGTATAGTGACTCCAATGCTAGATGTACAATTAAAGATAATCTAAAGGTTTGAGTGAAAACACATTATTAATGTTACCTAATTGGGAAAAACTGATCTGATCGATACCTTAATTCTCCCAACTATATTATTACAATTGAATTACATTTTAGGTGAATGTAAATCGTCACAAAAGCTATGAATTGGCTCTTATACCATTCTAGACATTTAAGTGTTGAAAGATGTTTTAAAATCTGTCTTTGATCTTATTTTCATGGGAAAACGGTTAGGAAACTTCAAAAATGGTTGGGATAATTTACTGTTAATCACTGTTAGAGGGTGTTCAAGTCCACAGTGACGCCTTCAAAGAAAACCATAGATATAGTTGTGGTTTGAGAAATTTTGCAGGGTTTCTTTGCATGTTATAGGGTCAGTACAGTAGAAGGAAGGTAATAAGTAACATTTCATACAAGAATTACGCAATTTGTTAAAAAACCTTCAACGATGTTACTGAGTCACTTTAATTACATTAAAGGATTCCAGTGGTCTGTTTTGAATATTGCCTTTTATTACAGATTGTAAAATCGTTTATATTTGTGAAATGTTTTAATGACTTGTGGTAATTTTGTTGTCGAAAATGGAACCAACGTGAAGTGATGACATTTATAGAATATTTATTATTATTTTGATTTTGCACACATCAATTGATGTTTTATTGAATATTTGTTTACATACCAGATATTGTTTACACATGATATTAATATAATTGTAATGGCACAGACCTGTAAAGAAGCCGATTCTGTTGGTAAATTCTTACCTCTTGTTTGTGATGTTTATACATAGGCTAAGTAGGTCACACATATTCAAATACAAATTCAGAATGTATTTATAGTTAGACGTGCTTTAATGCGGACGCGTTTGGATTACCTTGTGGCTTATTTCAAACTTGGTTCCTTAATAATTTGAATAGGAAATACTGATATATTCAAGAGTGAAGACAAATTAGGACAAAGTATGGAACATATTAATTGTTCTATTCTTAGGAATGTCAACAGTTTTATTTATATATTCCATTCTGTTTATTTATTTAATAGTAAACAAAAGTAACCACCATTATAATGTTACGGTCAGTGTCAAGCGTGCCGCTCAGTAGAAAAATCATTATTGGAATGATTATCAAAATGTTGCATGTACATATTCTTTCCAATCATCAAACGTATTTATGTAATTGTTAAGTATTGTGTAAAAAGATAAATTATATATACAGATATACAGAAGAGTAATTTTTGAATTTCTGAATGAATATTTGAAACCATAAGAATGTAAATAGTTTGTAAATAGCTCATTTATAAAATTTTACATCTATGAATTTTATTTATGAGAATGTACTAGTTTTACAATTATTTGAATATAGTATTAAGAATAGCAGGACAATAACATAGTCAGAGATGATACTTCACCACACAGACAGAATGACATTCTTTCTCGTTATAGAATGTGTTAAAGTAAAATAGCTAGGTTTAGATGACTACGGAAGTATTTATATTGGAAGCTTGTTATCCCTGGCTGTTTTATTAGACACCAGTGAGGGGTCTGAATTAGTCGGCGGAATATAATTACAACAAAAACTATGTGAGTTTATTCCTGAACTCGTGATAACATAGGGGCAAGTCTGAGGCTATTGACCATATAGAATGTTGGTTAGTTACAACTTACAAGCTTCCCACCGACAAAATGAGTGAAGGTTTAGTAAGGCTGGTAAACAAGGCCTGTTGAGTGGTTGAAAGGAAGTGGAAACTTAAAGATAAACTTGAGTTCTGGGGAGTGTTTCACAAAGATCCTAAGTTTAACTTATCTCTAAGTTGGACTTAACAATTATGGAAAGCCGTCAGCATCATTGAAAATATTGTGTAAAAGTTATTTTAAAAGGCATACAAATGTTGTTTCAAATCATCCATATTTTCTTTTATCAAAGGGATTTCATGTTCTTGATGTGGAATTTATGAAAAGTCTAAAATACTTCAATTTTGGCTTTTTAATATATTTTATGTTAAGGCTACAAATGGCTCTCCATATTATTTAAGTCCAAGTTAAAGTTAAGTTCGACTTGTGATCTTTGTGAAACACCCCCCTGGTTAAAAAAAAAATGAATTCTCACAGAATCAAACGAAATTTACACTGAATGTTCAAGGTTACAGTCAATTGCCAAACAATTTTGGTAGAAACTTTATGCTGGCTGAGTAATGAGAATAGAAAGATAAGGAAATCAAGTTTGGTAGTCCCCGACATCATTTGTGTAGTCCCCTATACATCTTTCTGTGTACAGTGCTTGTTAATTTACCAAGACTGGGCCAAATTTATTATGATTTTGATGACTCCAGAACCTTGCAGTCCACATCAATACTTACATGCTACATGATCAACTTTTTTCTGATCGATTCCACACCTTTTCTTTCACAATGCAATCGCATGACCAGAACTCAACTTTATCTTTGAGAGAATGGCGTTTTATGTTAAAGGTAAAGACCAGTATTGGAAACGCTCCAATTTCAAAAAAATAAAATGGAAGCTCTTTATTACCAATCATGTGAAAGAATATGTTTTGACTAATACGTAATAATACCAATTTTGCCGAGAAACCGCCTATTAATTGATATATTTGGTAAATTAGTTTATCTATTGGACTGTGAGAGATAAACGCACGTGTCCCGCACGTGTGCGTAGTCCCATATACATATTTCTGTGTACAGTGCTTGTAACTTTACGAAGACTGGGCCAGATTTCGTATCATTTTGATGACTCCAAAACCTTGTAGTACACAGCAATACTTATATGCTAGATGATCAACCTTTTCTGATCAATTCCACAACGTTTCTTTCACTATGCAATCACATGACCATAACTGGTCTTTATCTTTAAACGTTGGTAACTACCAAGGGCACGATTCTGAGTAACTGCAGGTATTTGAGAAAAGGATTGCTTATTTTAAGTTAATCATGGAACCATTGTGGATTAGTAGATTACAGTTTACAAGTTTGAATAATCTATCCGAAGATTGAATACGACTCCACGGAGTATAAAGTAGTTGATAGGTAAAGCAGTATTAAGTGATAAAATTAATTAGTACATATTCATTATCCATTATCTCTCAGCCAAGATGAAGATTGGTTGACATTTTTTCATGACCGGGGGGGGGGACAAACTTATGATTGTATGATGCAGATGTACATAGTTATGCTCGTAGTAATACTAAATTAATTCAATTCTTTATTGAAATTTACCTCGAAGATGATATTGTTGTTGAAATGGAATTATGAATATTGGTATTAAATTGTTAGTAAAGTTACGTTGAACTTTATTCATATATAAAGAAACAATTTGTATACTGTTTTACAATGCACACATGTGAGTAAATGACGTTTGATTAGTGATTCAATTTTCGTTTTTAATGTGAAATCCAAGGACTTGGATATTTGAAGACGTTTATTTTCAATTGGTGATGGATTGAGTAATGGAGATTGACTGCTGATGTGATTTAGTTGATGCAGTACACATGAGAATTAGAATAAACGTTTAATTACAGTTTAGAGGATATGCAATACTAAAAGTTTATAGGGTCTTTCTTGTATATTTCAAGATAACGTACATCGTAATAGAGCTTAACTAATACTGTAAGAGTTTTACAAGAAAGTTGCAAATGGATTGATATATATATATATTGCCAACAGTTCAGGGAGACAAAAGCAATAAATATTTGTTTTCTCTTTAAAAAGCACCATAAACATATATCAATCATTCGTAAGCTTTTTGTGGATAATGAAGAGACAGAAGATTAAACACATGTTTTTCTTCTCTCACGAACCTTGAGACTTGGTAAGGATGAGGGGAGGGGGGGGGGGGGGGGGTGAGTGTAATGGGAATCGAGTGTATGAATGTGATATGTATTTGTTGACTATTATGTGTGTATGAATAACAGGTGGAAAGACAGGGTGTCTTTTTTATCATTTTGTTTGGGTTATAATTAAGTTGATGTTTTATTTGATGTCTTAAACATTTTCATAGATGTCCTAGTCTGACATTAAGCGGAGAAAAGACAGAAATATTGTTGGAAAGCATCGATTGTTTTGCTCATATTTGTGATGATATCCGCCTAGTCGATAATATTAGAATTTAGGAACAGAACTTATTGATTGCAACCACTATTGGGGGGAGTTACTTAACCATTCGAAACTAAAGATTGATTCGTATCGTTTTTAATACTTTAAAAACATATCTGTGATTTCTCGACGTTAACATATAAGTTATAACACAGAAATTTAATATGAAGAATTCCTATCAAGCAGTTTTAGAGGGGTTTGAGGAGCTCAAGCCGCCCCCTAAAAAAAGGATAAAAAGAATGCAAGAACATAATGACCCCAGCTCCCCATAAGCACTATCCCCCCACCCCCCCCCCCCCCCCCCTCGAAACTAAAGATCGATTCGTATCGTTTTTAATACTTTAAAAACATATTTGTGATTTCTCGACGTTAACATATAAGTTATAACACAGAAATATAATATGAAGAATTCCTATCAAGCAGTTCTAGAGGGCTTTGAGGAGCTCAAGCCGCCCCCTAAAAAAAGGATAAAAAGAATGCAAGAACATTATGACCCCAGCTCCTCATAAGCACTACCCCCCCCCCCCCCCCGCTGTAAACTTTCAGGCGCACTC